GATAGAGTTGAGATATGTTGTCCAATTTTTGCTGTCGAATTCGCCGTCCTTCTAATTAATTATTGACACAACATTTTTAAATTAATATGTAATCTCAAATTTTTCCTCATTAACTTCACCGCTGGCCCATCAAATTGATGACATTTTTAGCTTAAAATATTGTGTCAATAATTAATTGGATGAACAACAAATTGAACAGTAGATCTCATTGTTGTAGTGTTGCATGGCTGCCACCCATGTAAAAAGAGAGAATTATTTTGTTTTTTCGGGGCAATAATAGTCAATTCGTTAAAGATTTTCAGTATCTTGTTTTTCCTTTATGTCAATTCATCCATGTAGTCAACAATGAATTCATGCTTCATGTACAAAAACATAGTTTTACAGAAGAAAATCAGATAGACACAATGCAGGGAGTGAGTTTTTTTTTTTTCATTTTTTATTCCGGTGGACCCCACACACGTGAGTGGATGTAAAACTTCTGGCAAAATTTTTTCTGTACATCTGGTTTAATCCGTCAACAATGTCAAGTCAAAAGTGATCACGCATGGACAGTAATTCTCGTTTTATCTCGTGGAAGTGTACTTAAATTTTATCATCTTGGTTGACAGATTGCTACATGACAGTCTGTCATTGGCCATTTTAAAAAAATAAATAAATAGTTTTTCCGCCTATCATTCACTGCCATCAATGCATCTGTTAACCAATGTGGTTAATTCATCTGACAAGAAAGCATTATTCTACTTTTTTTTGGCATACCAATTTAACAATGCAATCAACAAATATTAACTTAAAATTTACATACTAATCAAGTCAAGTTATTATTCATCAACTACTGAAACTCTTTTTTTTTTTTTTAATGAAAATCATTAACAGTAAAACAAGAGATGGTGATAATAATAATAAAAAAAAAACAAGATAAGACAGTAAGGCACCAAGTACACTACATATTCAGGGCGTGTTCGGTAGAAATTAAAATCGGATTAAAATTGAAAAACTAGCCGTTATTGTTGACTTTTATTAGACGAGTTAGACCCAATAACGGTTATATTTTCAATTTTAATTGGATTTTAATTCGGACCGAACACGCTCTCAATTTAGAATTTTGTTACTTGTACACAAAAAGTGTACACAATAGATTATCTAATATGATGTGAGGGAAAAAGATTGGATGAAAAAATTGATTATATTTTAAACTAATAAATGATAGAGTGTCACATGACAATACATAATCTACAGTGGTGGCAATGGGTTGAGCTGGTCCCATGAGCTCGGCTCGAACCACGAGATTGAGTTTTTTTTTTTTATCTTTATCTTTTTTACATTTTTGTTTACATTTTTTATGAGGCTCGTGGGCTCGTGAACTTTAGATTCGCTGGCATGGCTCACGAGTTGTTCATCTTGAAACGAGTTCGAGCCATCCACGGGCCGAGCTCGAAGAGCTACTCGGCCTTTTTGCTACCCTTAGTAATCAATTATGTAAATTTTGATGTACATGTAGTAAGATCCTTCAATTTATTACCTTCCCTTGCTTCCTTTGTAACTGAAAAGTTGAAAACATGAAAGACAAATCACACTTCCAATTTCTAGGGAAAGAAAGAGATCTACCATCTCTGTTTTTGAAGAGACTTTTTATTCACTTACTTCAAATACGATTCAAATCCATATTTTGTTCCTTCTTGAAGCTAATTTTTGCTTTTGAAAGTTTTTTTTTTTTAAATTTAAATATGAAAATATAGACTACGAGTGTGTTTGATGGATATTACTGAAGAAATAATGTATTTTAAATAGTGATATAATGGGAAATATGTGGTTAAAAAGTAAGGAAAAATTATTGATATGATGAGAAATATTATTTTATTGAAAAAAATTGTGGTTGAAAATGAGTTTTGAAAGAATGTATTTTGAAATAACGTGTGTCAAACAGGGGCTATATTTTTCATTTTCTTAAATGAAATGAAATCGGACGGCATGAAAAATTAATGTTCACTTTGGCACCTTTTCCCAATTGATTGGGTTCGAAATGATTTTTAAATTGCGACTTTCAATGCTCAAATGAACCGAATTTAAGATTAGTTGACGATTTTTTTTGTAAAATAGGCAAATCAAGTCCAAATTCAATAACATTGAAAATGAATAGGAAATATAGAAAAATGAATAAGGAAAATGTGTGATTAAATATCAATAATAATCATGGGCAGACCCAATTCAGGCTCAGGCAAATGCCTACACTGAACTTTGGGCCAACCCAGCCACATTTTCTAAACAGCAGTGTTATAATTCATGTACTTCATGGCTGGCTATGGTTTCTTCTCGAGGACATCCCAAAGGCCTTCATTTGAGGGATTCTTCCAGGGTTGGTTTATTGCGAAGCGAAAAGGTCTAATGGAGATTCACAATTTTGATACGAACAAGTATAATGAGTTCAAAAATGTTTGTTACCCTAGTTCATCTGTCCCAATGGAAAGTGTTGTATCATTTAGTGATGTTCAGAGACAAAATTTTTGAATTAAGAGGAAAGAAGAGTAACATAGTTTTTATTCTCCTTTTTCACCCTTTTATATGTACAATATTTCTATATTCTTGTCTGCCTATGTACCCTCTTGCTTTGTATGAAGCATATTCTTCTTTGATCTTCCAGATTGCTTCTTTGGAGTTGGAGGGAATATTTTGATTTCGGTTATCTATCTGTCTCTTAATTTGAACTTTAGACATTTACTAATGTCGACTGCACCGAAAAAAATTTATAGGTTTGTCCCTGATAATAACACGAGTACATTAAGATATGCGATTGAAAATAATGCTTGCTAGAGTTATTTTTGTTTACAAATTAGCAAAACTTCATTTTTAACAACATATTTCATTCTATCCACAACCTTTTATCTACTTTTAAGTTTTAACTACCGTATTTAATGAGATCCACCAACATTTATCAAATAGACAATGCTACATGTATATCCATTTTTTTACATAATTTTTTTATCTACACTCACAATAGGATGTGGGGACCACACACTTGGAAATTTTTTTATTTATGCGGGCCCTACTCGCATGTTAGAGGGTGTAATATTTTCGGTACAAAATGGAATTGTCCTCATCAAATTTATTTGCCATAATTCTACATCAAACATGCACTAAATAGTAAATATGTTTTACGATAGAGAAATGATAAAGAATAAATAATTGACGTACGTTGAGTTATAATCAAAAGTTACTTTAAAAGATATTAATCAAAACTCATAAAATGATAACTTTGTTTGTTTGACAAAATGAGTAACTTGAATTTATAATTAAAATCGTATCGTCACGTTCCTTTCATGTGTAGTGGGAATTAGTTTTTATATAATGAGCCCGATTTGATACACATTTTTTTTAAACTCTTTTTTTTTTCTTAATTTTACTTTTAATTATACATTATATTGATAAAATAATATCATGCTCTTGTTTGGTTAAATTTAAAAAGTTGATTAAAATTTAAGGGCATGTTTTAATTTTCCCTAGAACTAAGAATTTTTTTTTCAATTTTCTAGCTTTTACCTTGTTTGATGGTATAAATTTTTCATGGAAATTTTTTTCTCACTTTCTCTCACACGTGCATATTTTTCTTGATTTTGTTGAAATTGATTTCCCACCTTTTAGGTGGGTTTTCATTTTCCAGCTCTTTTTTTTTTGTAATTGGGAAAGATTCTAGACTCAATGGTAAAACAAATTATTACTTTTATTGACAATTTTCATACAAAACAAAACCAAACAAATGGTAGTTGACACGATAATTTTTTTTTGGCAAGTGAAACAAGTTCTAGACCCAATGGTGAAAGAAATTATCACTTTAATGAACAATATTCATGAAAAACAAAGTCAAACAGACACCATTCAATTCCCTATAATTCATTTTCTTTCCACCCATTTTACACATTTAGAATCAAACGGACCCTAAGTTTTGATAACATTATTTTTCATAGAATTCATAAATTTTCAACTTTTAATTAAAATCAATTATACATAAATTCAGTAATTTTTTAGTACAAAATCAATTAATAACACATCCTTCAAAAATATCACCCAACAAAAAAAATTTTTTTTTCTCAAAATGGCCTGAATCTCCAGCATAGATTGCAAGACCTCCTTTCTCTCTCACACACACTCCCCACTCGCACACAGATAAACTTTTTTGCTTCCAAGGGTTTCGATCTCTCTGTAAATTTTATCCCACCGATCTCAGATTAAAATGGAATCAGATTTAGGGCTTGTTTAAATTATGATTAATTATCTCCTCTCGCTATTATCACATCTGCACGTTCAATTCTAAATCTTTGAAGATCTGTGTAAACGAAAATTAAAATTCGGAATTGGAGGTATTCATTGGAGTTGGGCCATTTTAGGGTTCTGTTTTATGTTTAGAGAAGCCCTTAAACATTTTTGAATTTGACTGGTTAATTTTGAGGGGTTGTGAGATATGGATATGGATTTCAATGGTGACGTGGCGAGTCTCGATGTTGAAATGCTGCAGCTACCGGAGGTGTCTCCTTTGGCTATTAAAGCCAACCCTCATGTGTCCGAGAAGCTTTTTGATCAGTGGCTTTCGCTTCCCGATACCGTATCTCTGGTAATTTTTAGTCATTTTATTTGATTATGAACTGCCTATGAACGATTGATATTCTTGTTATTATACATATGCTGCGAAGCTTTGTGTTTAAGTGGAGTTTAATAATTGTTTTTTCTGTTTATTCAGTGTGTTGCTTGTAAATTGGTTTTATGGATGAGGATAAATTAAGGAAATCAACTAAGCAACGCATCTAGAGATTTGTGATATACAACCAAAATGTTGTTTGTACACAGTGGTCAATTCTGCAGAAGTTACGAAACTGAACCAGTACCAAGTATTGGTACATAATAGCATATATTGTGAATTATATTTAACAAAAAGGTGTTCTTTTCCCTTGCATTATGAAGAAATTACCTTTTTGGAGGGAAAAATATGGTTAATGGATTTTGAGAAGATCCATAAGGAAAGGTATAGTATACAAGTGGAGTACAAAACCTAGCAGGATATACTAAGATGAGAAATGTAGGAGTTCTGCATTTATTATATCAGCGACTTTGTTGAGCATTAATGGCAAAGTGTAACAATTTTGTCCCGACCAAGATACGAGTTACAGAATTTAATATGAATTGCTAATCAAAGCGACTTCTTACACTTGTACATTTTCTTTCTTCACAACTACTTTTCGCTCATAGAGCTTGGATCTTTGAGGCCTGTATAGAGTGCTTTCTACCTGACATAAGATTTTTTTAAAAAGTTATTTCTTAATCAAAATGAGAGTATAGGATTACCTGAACACTGGTTCAACTTATCAGCATTTACCTTAACCTCAATTAGACTATGACACTATCACTGTCTGTATGATTTTGTTAGTTAATACAGAAATTACAGTGAGCACAATGTAATGAAACTTAATACGTATAAAGCTTGGACTAATCGTCAAGTGGGCAATACTGGTTAACAAAATCTCCAAAGATGAGAATTTGAAAGCTTGGAACTTGGAAGAATTAATTTAGTAATTATTCCTATCTTCTAAAGCAGTAGACCGAAATGCAAGGCAAACATGTATGATGTATTTCTGTACCTTACCATGGAGCATGACGCAATGTTCTAATTTATTTTATGTTAAAGAATCCAAACTGAAATGTAAATAGAGTACATGCAGCACAAATGGTTGGGCTTTTATTGGGATGGGCTTCAGATTCCTGGAGCCTGCTCCATTGTTTTAATGAAAGTTCAGAAATTTTACACGATTAAGTGCTAAACACATTATAGGGTGTGTTTGAGCCACATTATTTTGGAAGAATGTATTTTGGAATAGTAGATTGATGAAGAATGTGTGGTGGAAAAAGAAGGAAAAGTTATTGATGTGATGGAAAATATTATTTTATTGAAAAATGTTTGGTTGAAAATGAGTAGAAGAATGAAAATGAAAATTTTAATGTGGCTCAAACACGGGCATAATTTACTGCTGCCATGCCCTTTCTCACCTCTGTACTCGTTCCTTTTTTCTCTCGATGTAGTAGATTTTGACTCCACTGTTTGAGAGTTTTCCTTTTCTATGAATTTATCTTCAATAAAATATGCAGTTTTTCTCATGGTAATTTATTTTATGAAAAGGTCTTCTTAAAGTGTCAAGGGAAGTGAGAGCCAACCAACTCTCGTTGCATTCCGAAAAAGGCACCAAATTGACCTCGAGAGGCACCTAAACTTACCTCATTACTGAACGCATCAAAACCTCTATTCTAAATAAAGTCCAGGAGATAAAAAATGGTGAAAGAAAGTAAACTTTCAGACTATTGCGCTATCTGAGATCATAATATTTCTGATATCTTTATGCAAACTGATTTCCAATGTTTTTGAGAATATTTGGAAAGGATAAAAGATAAATATGTAATTATCCCTTAAAATTTTAGATTAGACCATGTACTTGAGTGTTGTTTCTTTGGAAATTAAATTTATGCACTTCTATTCCGATGAAATTGTGACCTTGGGTAGATCTCCTCACGCCTTAGTAAATAGTTTCCACAGATAGTTATATATACTTACATTCTATATTCCTCTAAACTTGGGCTAAGATAGGTGGGAGAATTCCTCTAAACTTGGGCTACATGCATAAATGAATAAGCAAAATATACAAGATTTTACTCTCTTCCAAGAAAGAAAACAGAATAGTTGATTCCACCAACTGATGGACTTTGAGTGGATGTATTCCCCCTTAACGTCCATCCATCAATCCTTACAAGATGGTGTTGGTTCTACATTTTGAAAATATGCAAGGAACTTTGGTTATCCTCCTGCATTCTATATGTTCCTATAAGCTTGGTAATTCCCTGTGTTCCCATGGTCCACAAGAGGCGTATTGGGGTTGTTTTTGAAATTTCCCTGTTCTGTAGCTCCAGCCCCCAGAGGATAGTGGCCAGCATCATCCATTGGACATTAAGAAGAGCAAAATTAAAGTATCAGAGCTCTTGGGTTACCTTAAAATGGAGCACGTGATTGACCCTCACTAGTTTCAGTATTCAAAATGCACTGAGGTATACATTTTCTAAAGTTACTCCTGGAATCATGGGTTAGAATGTTTTCAAGGCAGTAATTCAGATTCCTGTTCTGTTGGCACTTCTGTTAGGATGGCAGTTCCTTCACTGGAGTCTCATTGCTTATTTCCATAAATCCATCTGGCACTTGCTTGCGACTTTTGAGTTATGATGCTATTTTCCTGTTTTTTTCGTGTTCATTTTTTAATGGCATATTTTTTTGGCCTTTATGCTGGGGATGTAAATTTTGAATGGCTAGTATTCATTTATATGGTACTTAACTGTCCTTTGATATTATAAATGTATTTTTCACAAATTAATCATTCAGTGATTTAAGAGAACTTCGGATATCTGTTGGGAGTGGCGCATTACTTTTGGTGATATTTTCTGTTTGCAAATGCGTTTACTTTATTCTGCAAACTTAGGACAGGCTCCTAAAACTCAGCATTTTGAATAATGCCTCTGCAACTTATCGTAACAAAATTTGATGTGAGTTCCATTTCCTAGAGAAACCTATTAACTCAGTGATAGATTCTCATTACCTTGTTTCTAGCAAGGCTGGAAGTGAACGATCTGAATGCTATTAATTTCATTGCTTTTCTATAGGTAATGTAAATTGTATTCCTAATGCACAATACAAGTGCAACTAAGCGACCACTCAACATACGTACCTTCTGTGCATCATATGCAGTACCTCCTCCAAAATGAAAATTGAAGGAGTAAGAAAATATATCTTCCACAATCCACATTAGTAATAACTAAGGCTCTATTCCCTTGTATTCAAATGCAATTTGCCCTTGTCTTTGTCAGGGGCGGACCCACGATTATTCTTCGGGGGGGCGAGACATAATTGTGCAACGTGATCCCCAATTTCCAAGTCCGTGACGCCTTCTCCCACGCTTTCCACTAATCTATGTATCTCAAGAAGCAAAATCAACAAGAAAATTTCAGTACTAAATCTATGGGACAAGATTTTAGTTGGGATATCTTCTTCTTACCCCGAGGCTTCATGGCCTAGAATTCGTGGGTACATCCGCTGAGCTTCGTTCGTCAACAAATTAAAACACAATTCACGACAGGTTTGATTGATAAAGAAGACATAACCCACATCAGATATATATGATGAAATGAATTACCTCGCCTTTCCAAGCGCTAAGATCAGTGTGGCAAATTGAAGTGAAGAATATCTTGATTCGGACTTCCATTTTCTGGGGAGGATCAACCAAAATCTGTTCCATCACAAGGGGCTGCTCCGGACCATACGCCACAGCAGCTGCATGCATTGATCAATGATAAACAAATAAATTTCAACCCAATTAATTATATATAGCAAGAAATTGATAACTTTTTCTTGCCTTTGCATGCTATAACTTTCCCAACCGTGTCACCGCCATCAGTATTGGAAGCATAATTTCTACCCATTTCTGCTTGTATTTTGTGAGTTTGATAAACGATTGTATTATGTATAGCAGAAGCAGAAGCAGAAGCAATCTATATATCTCAAGAAGCAAAATCAACAAGAAAATTTTAGTACTAAATCTATGGGACAAGATTTTAGTTGGAGAAGGCCTGAGAGGCAGTCAGGCGGAGAGGTTCCTAAATTAATCTCTACCAGACTACCAGTGCAATTGTGCAAACTGTGCAGTTCCTAAATTAATCTATACTAGACTACCAGTGCAGAGAGGGCAGTATGCAGTTCCTGCGTATCCAATCAATCAAGCAAATAATCGAACACCTAGTGAGCATCTTTGAATCATAGTGAGAGGAAGAAGAAGAAGAAAGTTGAAAGGCCAGGCGCCAAGAACAAAGAAGCTAGGTCGTGTGCGAAATTGATTCAACTTACAAAACGTTCTTCAAAGATTCAATCCGTTCTTCTTCTTCTTCGGCTATTGGAGTTTGCAGGGTTTGAGAATTGTGGGGAAGGGAACGATTTCGCACTCGGAGGGGAAGAGATATGGGGGAACTGGACTGAAGAGAAGGGATTAAGGGTTGAGGTTCGCACAGTCGCACTCGGAGTCGGAGGAGAAGAGAATTCAATTTGGGGGAACTGGGAACGAATTCACAGCCAAACGTTATGTGTAGTTCATGGGCAAAGAATTGGGCTTGGGTTGCTTGGGTCATGGGTGGGCTTTCTTCCAGAAAAAAATCAGGCCCAATTGGCTTTTTTTTTTTAAAAAAAATCTCACGGCCAACTGCCCCCACTGGGCCCTTAATGGGTCCGCCCCTAGTCTTTGTCCTTCCTTCCTTTATAGTCGATAGAGTTCCTTGGGCCCTTCAAATTTCAAATGTGAGGAATCATTGAGAATATAAATAATAGTTGGAGTAGAACGTTGTGTAGAGTTGCAGAAAGAGAAGCTTAAGTTCTCATAGCATGGTTATCTCACTAAAACGAATTGGACAAATGTTATTTGAAGGACTTGCTGGCCAAATAGTCTGGTCGTTGTATTCTTTTTAAAATTTATTTCTTTTCTGTTTCTTCCTTCTCTTCCTTTTTAACATACCAATCAAGCCTACAATTCTATCATAGAATGAGATATTGAAGATTTAGAACCTTAGCTGCTAAGTATCTTGAGATACCCCATGTGAATATTTCATTTTGCATTCAAGATGGCTCTGCTTTTAATGTGTTTAATGCTGATATGAGACATACTAGTGACGTTCTTCAAATTGCTTGCTGATTGGGTAAATGCCTTTTTTGACGAGTTTGAAGAAACGTACATGCCACGTATTGTAGATGCAAATCGTATTTGGACCTAAAGTAATATGTTGAAAGCAATTTTTCTTCAATATTATTGACATTTGCAAGTAGAAGGCAATTGCCGCAGGCCCGCAATTCACTAGTTGTTTGTTTAGATATTGGACTAATAACTAACTGTGAACTACAGGTAAAATCTTTGCTCGGTAGTGCTAAGGCAGGTGGCCCCTTGAATGTCTCTGGGACATCATCTGGTACAAATGCTGTGGCAAGCAACACATTACCTTCAATGTTTCCTGCTGGCAGTACTCCTCCACTTTCACCCAGAAGCTCAGCGGGTTCACCTCGGGTAATGAAACAGAGAGCAGGCCCATCTGCTTTAGGATCTCCCCTGAAATTAGTGAACGAGCCTGTGAAAGAGCTTATACCTCAGGTTAGATTATTTTTCTGTATAATCTCTCATAAATTTCTATATTTATTATGGTAGTGGTTCTGGGTTTGCAGTTTTTGTTTGCTAATGCTTATAGTGGAATGCAGTTCTATTTTCAAAATGGTTGTCCTCCACCGAGTGAATTAAAAGAACGGTGCTTGTTTAGAATCAATCAGTTTTTTTATGGTCACATGGACGGACTCCAAATGAACGGTGAGATTTACAACATATTCATATGTTAAGCATTCTTTACTTATTATAGAACCTGCACATGAAACATATAAGTTCCGAGAATGTCAGGGTCATTTGTTACGTTATCTACTCGTGCTTATGATAGACCTGAAACTCACAATATAAACTATCTCGGATATTTGATGATGAGTGGTATGTTAATTAAACTAATTTTCCATGGGATATCAGAATTTAAACCAGTTACCAAGGAAATATGCAAGCTTCCATCATTTTTCTCCACCGTGCTTTTTAGAAAGATTGACTCTGATGGCACTGGAGTTGTAACCAGGTATGTGCTATTCTACTCATTTTTTGAGTTGTTTTATCGACATATATGCCGTTGTGAACTTCTCTCTCTCCTAAATGCACTAAAATGAGAAAAGATCAACTTTACACCAGGTAATTAATCAAGGAAATAAATAAATAAATATCACAGCTAGTTCAACTTCTTTAAATATCAAAACGTTGGATTGTGTGCTGTTTATTTGACATCTACTTGTATTAAAGCAAATCGGAATCAGGTAACAAGTTGGCATCCTGATGGTCTTATAAAATTATTGACTTTAGTATTATTTTGCAAAAGCACCCAGTCTTCTTTGAACTACTAAAACTTGGCAAGCGTGGCTTGTTTAATAATATGCACTGAAATGGTAGGTTTTGGAACACATTTATCCCGTCTAAGTTACAAGCAAGTGAATGTATTATAGTTTTACTGCTGCTGTAATCTGTCTTGTTTCTCCGTGATTGTTTCTGTTTTCTCAAAATCTTTTTTAATTGCACACGCATTGCATTAAGTTATTGTTTGATTTACTATTAGTGCAGGCCACCTTTTCTACGTTAGTACGAAATCCTGTCATTTTGTAAATTATTAGAATTTGCATGTGCTGAAGCCAAGGTCATCATTATGAGGTGTTTGATGTACTTGAAGGAGAATGCTATCAAAGAAGTGCGAGTTATAGAATTTTATTCTTTTTGTCTAGAACTCTCTTATTATATTTCGATGAAGGCACTGGGAGTGCGGAACTTGAAGTCCGTATAGAGATGATAATGGAAAAGAGAGAAGGCAAGGAAACAATCAGAAGAGCCTCCCTTAACTTCATGTAAAGTTCTTGAAGAAAAGTGAAGGGGATAGGAATTTATTGTCCACAAGATAGAAAGTCTCAAGGTTCTTATAATACCTTTTTTTTTATAAAATTCATTAGAGCTTGCACTCTTCGATAATTGGGAAGGTTTGGGGAACAATCGCCAGTTTGATGATATTTGCTTAGTCTTTTAGGAGAAATTGATTTTTGCTGGGAGCGAGTCTGTTCTTTATCTGTTTGCAATTTGGTGTTTTCTGAACAGTTAGCTGTGTCAGAAAAAGAAATTACTTTGCAACTTAAATCCTGAAAGCTTAAGTTACCATGAATTTGAATGTATTGTTACATAAGCTATGCTTAAATTGTAGCAATAATCTGAGTAAAAGGGAAAGAAGGTTGGAAACAGAAATTACTGCAAATAGTCTCAATTCTATGCCAAGGCCAAAACCAAAGTAAAAAAATCACAACATAGATAATTTTCAAAAACAAGATTCCTTGAGTACTTCTCAGGTTTTAACTGCACCTTTGATGTACAGGTAATTATTAGCGGCTTAAAATTTCTCAAACAGCAAAAATTTGCAGCTAAGTAGAGAATTACATGATTGAGTAGACTAAGGCCATGTCTGGGAGAACTTTT